CCGCCTGGCCGCCAGCACCACGTCTGGGTAGTGGCGGATGCCCTCGCGTCACGTGCCCAGCCGGGTGGAGTCCTTGCTGCCGGAGGCACCCACATCACCATGGCGTCACACAGTAGCAGGGGGCGCACCTGGGCCTCGAGGCAGAGCAGCGCGCCCTCATTGTGGTCGAAGGAGGCTCACCTAAGGGCGGGCATCGTGGGGTTGGCTTCCCTTGGATCAGAGGGAGAAGTGGGGAGGCTGCCTGGACAGCACCCCTGCCTGTAATGGACCAGGCACAGGTGTGCACAAGAGGAAGCTTTCTCCAGCCAGGGGCTGGAGGGTTATATTTGGCTAAAGAGAACACCGCGCCTGAAAAGCTGCTCAGGTTGCACTCATGCACCACAAAGAGGTGAGGCCTAGGGGTTTCCAGGGGCAGAGAGAAATAAACAAGTATATTCAGAATTAGGTTGTGTCCCTTGTAGAGGGATGGGTGCCTTTCAGGACCAGTTGCAGAGCCTCCCCTGTTACAGCCCTGATCAGAGGGACACGGTGGAGATCTCGACCTGGCTGGCCCTCCAGGGCTGCTCAGTGTCTGGGAGGAGGTGCAGGACTCACAAGGACAGAGGGAGGTCAGGGCCTGCAGCTGTGTTGGAGGGAAGGTAGATAAACCTGAAAGACCAATTGGATTTCACTACTGGGGCAGGATACCACCTCCAGGAATGGCCTGATCACTTCCTCTGAAGGAAGGAAGTCACCTCTAGAGACGGGGGCAGCATGGATGGCACCTCTGTGGGGACCAGCTGGGGTTGCACTTGTTTTAAGTGCACAAGCTTCTGTGGCCTCACAGAAAGATGGATCAGTCCATCCTAGGACCCTCTCTGATCTCCCCTTTCCTGCATCATCCATCCCGCCCCCTGCCAAGATCCCAGGCCTCCAGTCACACCCTCCTTGACCTGTCTGCCTGATGAACCCATAGAAATGCAGCAAGATTAGGGCCCTCCTCAAACCACCATAGCACCCTGGTCCCCAGCTTGGACTACTACAGGAGCCTCCTCACCATTTAGAGCAAGTCAGG